TGTGTGTGTGTAGGGCGGCACTAGCCAGCGTCCAGCCACAAGAGAGTGTGTGTGTGCGTGTGTGTGTGTGTGTGTGTGTGTGTGTGTGTGTGTGTGTGTGTGTGTGTGTGTGTGTGTGTGTGTGTGTGTGTGTGTGTGTGTGTGTGTGTGTGTGTGTGTGTGTGTGTGTGTGTGCGTGTGTGTGTGTGTTACGCATCTCCTCGCTCTGTGACGCACGGGTCAGGTGGTTCCTCTAATAGCATGAGAGCTGTCCGCGGTGCTGAGACTCACAGAGACGGAGAGAGCCTCCTCCTCACTAACTACTAACACCAGGTAAGGTTGTGATTGAATGCACGAGCCGCGCTACACTCTTTGTGTGTTTGCTATATAAGAATAGAGAGGGAGGGGTTGTTGTTCTTCTTTGTTGAATCAGCTTTTGTTTCAGGAGCTGTTTGCCAACCTGATGCACCGCCACATCTGTAGGGCGAACAGGTCTCTTTGTTCTCATTTCGCTACGGAGTATCCGAGATTGTTACCGTGTTTATCTTAAAAGGGTAATAAAACAAAACGTAAAAAATGATAACGAGGAAGTTTTGCGATTTTAAATTAGGTTGGGGAAATGAAAGAAAAAGTAAACGGACGTAAAAACGGCAGCAATTACGTTTGCATCGTCGCTTTTCGTGTGTTTTGCATCGTTTGACTCCTCCTCCTCCTCCTCCTAAAAAAGTGTTTCAATGATCAACATCGTCTTATTTGTGCAGGAATTTGCATTAAAAAAAAACATGTTTCAGCGAATGTTGCACGCGCATTTCAGGGCAGGCACTGGAAGGCAAATCTTTATCCAACGTTTTTTTTTTTAATCTGAGTTTAAAAAAAAAAATGTAATAATTGCAGTTTTAAGCATATTAACGGTAAACGGGAGGGTTCCATGGAAACATCAGCCTTACTGGGTTGCCTTGACAACGGGGCCGTGACTCGCGGAGAGCAGCAATTTGAAGAACTAATGAGATTTGCACGAGCTGAATAGCGCTGATATTACTGCTGCAGCAGCAACAGGCAGCAACACACTGAACACCCATACACACTTTATATATGTATTATACATATTAATTTATTTATGTAGTTAGTTATTTTTATGTAATCATTATTTGTAACATTATTTGTATTATCATCATGTACTTATTTATTACTTTTATATTTATTATATTTGTAATTATTAATTGTATTAATTATTTCTATTATTTTCAGCATTATTTTACTTGTTTTTATTATCATCATGTATTTATTTATTACTTTAATATTTTATTATATTTATATAAATGTATTTTACACATACTATTATTATTTATTTTGTATTATTATAAACAAATATAGTGAATTAAATAGTGACCACCAGTTGCTTCTTAGCGATCATCCTCATTTGGTTACTTTATTTTTTAAATGCAGCATATTCCATGTTTTCTTTAATGTCAAAAATAAAAAAACAACAAGCATAATTCAAGTTAACCGGACAAAGCAACAGTTTTTGTAGTTGTTTTTAACAGGATTTGGTCAAGACAGTTAATATAAATATTGTTTAAGTTAATTGAGGCACTAAAAAGATACCTGATTTAAATATTACACCTTTTTTGGTATTGCATGTGGCTCAGTGGATAGAGTGCTGGACTTCGGATCAGGGAGTAGCAGGTTCAAACCCCACTGCAGTCAGCATGTCGTTGTGTCCCTGAGACACTTCACCCCAAAGTGCTCCTGTGGGGATTGTCCTCAGTATTGAGTATGTAAGTCCCTTTGGGTAAAAGCATCTAACAAGTGACATGTGAAGCATATTCATTTACCCGCAGTGTTTAACAGATAAACGTTGTTCTCAATTACTCTTTAACCGGTACACATATAGATTATACACGGTTTGTTTGATCTGGTTTAAACCCGAGTGCTTTGACATCTCTGCGGTCTATCATCACACCGGACATTAAAGTGAGGATTAGAGCGAGAGGCTTTCACGGTACATATCCACCGTGAACATGTCAGCTTTACGTGTCATCTCTGACATCGGTCTCTTTGTGTCTCTCCTCTGCAGGCGTCACCATGCCGTCACTCCCCACGGGCAAACCTGTCCTCATCTGTTGCACCCACTTCCTCTTCGTCTTCCTCTTCGCCTCCTCTCACGTTCGGGGGGCTTCTCTCCGACAGCGAGGAAGTGAATCCCAGAGAGGAGGAGGAGGAGGCGACTTCCTGCAGAGCCCCAACGACGACATGCTCAAAGCTCTGGAGTTCATCGAGAGCCTTCGTCAGAGGAGCGGCACGAGTACGGGATACGAGGCGGACGACGCCGAGAAGCTGAGAGCGATCCTGAGGCTGGCTCCAAACGAGGAAGAGGAGGAGGAGGAAGAGGAGGAGGATGAAGGCAGGGAGGATAAGAGCGAGGAGCTGCTGCAGGCTGTGCTCAGCACCCTCCAGGAGACGGAGAAAGCCTCACAACAGACGCCGCTTCGCCCCAGGGTGCAACAGCACGGCATCAAGCCCCACAGGAAGATGCCGCTGATGTTTGAGGATGAGGAAGAGGGCGACGAGGAAGAAGAGGGAGAGGAGGGGCCGGCGCCTTTCAAACGCACAAACGAGAACGTGGCGGAGAAGTACACGCCGCAGAATCTGGCCACGCTGCAGTCCGTGTTCGACGAACTGGACCACATGACCAGCGTGAAGACGAAGAGGCAGGACGAGGAAGAGGAGGAGGACGAAGGTGAGGGGGTGTTCAACGTGAGGAACGTGGCGTATGATGACGTAGGAGGGGATCTCGCAGACTGGGGAGAGGGGGAGGACCGAGGGATCGATTATGACGAAGAAGCGGACGAAGACGAGGAAGAAAAGGTCAAGAGGTCAAAAGACACGGATGAAGTCGCCAATCTCGTAGACTACTACCTCCTGAAAGTGCTGGAGAGAACGGAGGAAGAGGAGAAGAAGAGAGAGGAAGAGGAGGAGAAGAGAGAGGAAGAGGAGGAGAAGAAGAAGAAGAAGAGGGAGACCATGGATCCGAGGACCATCTACCAGCTCATAGAGATCTCACAGAAGTACCAGATCCCCCCGGAGGACCTGGTGGACATGCTGAGCACCGGAGAATCCACGAAGCCACGGAAACCCTCTCCGGTGTCCCCGAGGAAGACGCACAAGAGTCCCGAAGGAACGTTCTTCAACACACGACTTCCCGAGAGGCGAAAGACCCCCGAAGAAAGACGGACGGAGGAGATCCTGAGCATCCTGGGACTAGGAGGCGTCGAAGAGAAAACTCCCGTCAGGAAGCAGTCCACCTCCGCCTCCTCGTCGTCACGGTTTCACACCCTCGCAGAACCCTCCGCATCACAACGGAGACGCTTCCCCTCCGGCACGTTGCCGGACGACTACGACGACACGTTGGACGAAGACGAACTGGCGGCGTATCTAGCGGCTCAGATGCTCGCTCGGTATCCGATAAGCAAACACAGAAACAACAAGGCGAGCCCAAAGCGCGGCGCCGGCTCCTTTGAGCAGAACATGCAGGCGCACTTTGATCAGAGGGAGGAGGAGAGAGAGGAGAGGAGACACACGGAGGACGAGGACGAGACGAAGGGTTTTGATAACGAGGCGGTGATGAAACTCATGAGCTACCTGAACCCAGACACTGACGAGAGAGAGAGCGACGCCACACCCGGACAGGAGAAATGAAGCCTGGAGAGAGATGTATAGTATATATAAATATATATGTTGTTTGGGTGGAGGGTGAGGATAAAGTATTTTGAAGAATAAAATGAAACGCAGGTCTGTAGGTTTACAACAGTTCTGATTTATTAGCAGAGATGTGACAGACATTCATTTGATGCTTCTTTCTTTTTTAAACAATCCGTACATGTGACTCACCAGCCTTTCAAAACACACACACACACACACACACACACACACACACACACACACACACACACACACACACACACACACACACACACACACACACACACACACACACACACACATCACTTCAGGGGACATTACATTGACTTACATGC